TTTAAGCAATTTTTTAAAAAAATAACATTTTTACCACCTAAATTCAATCCTTTTATACAGATTGAAGCAAACGCTGATCCACCAATCAATGCTTAGTAGCACTATCAGATGTTCGCTGATCGTACAATGGTCACACGATGATCGCTGGCCAATCTGCGGTCGTGGATTCAGAACCACCAGTTGTCTCGTGATCCGAGTTTCTATGGCGACAACCGTTGATTGTTTGAAAAGAGAAAAAGCGCGGGAATCTTACATCCAGACAATTCTATCCCAACTCCCCGCAACTCATGTTCATTGCATCGGTACACTGCTGCTGCTGCCAGTTGAATTCAATGTTGCCAGATAGAGATAGGTTTCCTGCGGCATCAAATATATGGCCAATTTTAAGACGCGGGAATTTTAAATCAAACACTGGACATTTTTATATTAATTTCGAGTATAAGACGCACCTGAATTTTGGAGGCAATTTTTCAAAGAAAAAAGTGTGTCTTATAGTCCGTAAAATACAGTACTTGAATAGTACTCTCTTGATACCTGAAAAGTAAAGCAGCTATTAAGAGAAGCTCTGATTTCTGAACTTGAATGTACAAACTTTGAGGCTTGCAAACATTAGTGAAGTCCTGTCATGTAAAATATGAAAGTAGTTCCAAGGCTGCTTTTTTTTTGTATCTTATCATTTTTCTAGTGAGTTGAATAAAACTTTTCTTTATCCTAGCAAACTGTGGAAGACCATTTAACCAGAAATGCAAAAATAAAGTGTTGCAACACTTTAGTAAGAATAACAACTGAAGTCTTTATTGAATATTTTAATTTTATAATTTTGGAATATTTATTTATTCACTCATTTACTACTATTGTGAGACCTGAAAGGCCCCTGGGTCTAAATCGGTAATTTTATTAATAACGTTAATATTTTGTTATAAAATATTATTTCGTTTGGGTGAGAAAAATGACGTTTTAGAGTGGGAAAAATAGATAACAGATGTTACTTCCTTTCATAGAAGTTAGAACATCCTCTGTTTTTCCCTTATCTGCGAAAACTCTCACTTTGATGGGAAATGTTTACCCCTCACATATTCCCCTTTCCATCCGTTCTCACGGAGGAATCTTTGCATGATGATTGGTCGCCGATCGTGACATATAGAGGAAATTTGTCAGAATTCGGGGAGTTCAGCGACAGATCTGAAAGTGTCCAAACTCCACACATTTCCCTCCTGATGACCAACGCCCTTCGATGAGTCACATAGAAGAATTCCCGAGTCAACACTTAGAAGTTATACTTTGACTTTGTGCACATATTGATCTCCCATGAAAAGAAGTAAATGAACTTTATCTCCGAAGCGTCCCTTGTCTACCAGAAGAAGACGAATGACAACTAGAACAGGTTGTATGTTTCTAACGATTTTGTGAGCTCTCTCTCTCAATCGCGCATCGGGTATAATATGAGTCCATATATCTCTCGATTTGTATCTTATTTGTAGTAGTTATATCTCTCGTTCATTAGTATTTTGTATTAGTTTTTATTTTCTTTGGTTTTATTAAATTTATTGTTGTTTTGTTTATCAAACGAAATGACTCTTAATTTGTGTCTGAATCAGATCTATAAAGCAATCGCACGCGTGTTTGTCTGCGGATCAATAAATTGACAAACTGGTTTCACAGGAATCCTGACGTAGATCCGAATCTCGCGATTAGGATCGAATAGTACAGCCCTCCTATAAGAACTTTTAAGATCGGATCTCTCGATCCGAAACTTTGGAGACAGATTTCGGATAATCTGTGCCGATTAATCCTCCGCGGATTAGAGTACCCCCGGCTACTCTCACACTATTGTATTTGTTTTATTTATATTTTTATTGCATATTATTTTTTTCTTTTAAATATTTGAAAAGAGCACTTTCAAATGTTGTATTCCAAAAAGAAAAATTCTAGAACATTATTTGAAGCATGTTCCACTCATTGCATTTGAATATCTTGTAAACTAACTGAAGAAGCTATAAATAAAGTACGTAAAAATGCTTTCAATATTAAAAAGCTCTAAATATTGTGCTGTGTGTTACAGTAAAGTACATTATAGATGGAGTTAATAGAAATTTTAATTAAATAAATTTTTGATACTTTTTCGTTAACTGGGTGCCAGTCATTTTTTCTACTAATTTTTAGCAAAATTGATATTTTATTTCATAATTCATACATGTAATATTACAATGAATATGTTTATACAGCATTGTTTATACACTTGTTTAATATTACAACATTTCACTAAAAATTGTAGTAAAATGACTGGTGCCAGTTAATGGAAAAGTACCAAATTTTTTTTATTTTACTTTATGATTATTGTATTTTATTTCACATGTTCTGTTGTAATTGTTCAGAATATTAATTTTGAATTTGTTCTAATTTATATCTTTCACATTACACTATTTTAAACTGTTAATTCCAAGATTTTTACTGAAAACTTTATTTATTTATTAATTTAATAAAAAGTTGGCTTCCTGAAATTAGCAGTATTTATTTATAAAGATGTACCAAGTTTTATGATGTTTAGTATTTTCTATAGCAAATTTTGGATTAGATCATCTATTACTTCACATTATTGAATTGTTAAAACTATGAATTTTCCATGTGGCTTTTAGTTTAAATTAATTAACTTATTCAAGTACAGATGGCATTAGTATGCTTAACATATAGGTAAGAAAATCATATATTAGTGCTATATGTAGGATTGCCACATGATGCTCAATATAGGGTAAATCAACAACATAAAAAAGGGAGATTAATAAAAGAAAATTAAGTTTATTAGTAAAAAAATTATGAATTATTTTTTGAATAAATTTAGGTAACAATTAACTAGAATTACACTGTATAATTTAAGTAATTATTATCAATAATTGAATATAATGCCATATATACAGAGATATATATATATATATATTGTTCATTCATTATGTCTGAACTTATATTTTTTTATCATTCTATGCACATCTCAATAATTCTACATTATTTTGTACCTTTTCAAAAAATTGTACATAACTGTTTTTACAATTGATGCATATAAGCAATTCTACTTTTATAAGTTCAATGGAATACTTATTCTTTTCATCAGTCCATTTATTCATGATAGAAAATGAACATATCTATAAATGACAATGTAGGTATGATTAAAATGTGTAATATAATTTTAAATAAATTATCACTATTTAATGTTATGTTTTTAAAAAAATTTAAATTATCAATAGTAGCACATTTGTTTGCCATTCAGGTGAGTTAACAAGGTATTTTAAATGTTAATTAATAAATATAGTTTCTTCAAAAAGTTTGTTCATGTTTATATTAGAAGTATTCAATAGTTCTACAGTTTAAGCAAATATTTCAAAATTTAGCAATTTTGTTAATATATTATCATTTCTGAGGTTTGGCAACTTTGCAATTAAAGATTTTTCATTGAAATCAACTCTTTTTTCCACATAAGACAAAGCTTTGTTATAAACATTTAAAAATTTGTTTTCAAAGTTTTGCTTTTCATGTAGAGTAAATCTTTCATCTTTTGCATAACTTCATACCTGAAAAATTTATTTGCGATTCTAGAAGTAAGTAGTTGTTTAAAATCTTTTAGAGTCACATACAAGTCAATAGCTGTGGTACTATTTTTTCTAATAATTTTTAATATTAAATTTAGAATTTTATATTTCAACAAAGATTTTTAGTGTTCACAAAATCCTGTACATACAGTATGTTCAGAAATTAATTGAATGTCTTTTTTTTTTTTTAATGTTTTAAAATGAATTAATTTTTTGAATGTAAAGTAGGATAATTAAGCTTTCATGTAGGATGTAGGACTGGTCTACCAAAAGTAGGATGCATGGCAAACCTAGCTATATAATAACTTATTTATTCATGCAAGACTGTCAAAAGACACATTAGATCCCAGTTCAACATTCTGTTAGTCTGAGATTGTAATAAATCTTTCTATAATGGACCCTCTTGATCCCTTTAGAGTGAGGAAATTTGTATTTGTTGCCTTACTTCTCAGTAGTTCTGCATTTTTGTGGATTTATAATATAAATAAAATAAAGTTTATACAAAAAATTTTTTAAAACAATAAAAAAAATTTTAACTTAAAAAAAGAAGAATAAAACATATAGAGAACAGTATAGTATAATACAGTGCTTCCTAAACTTTTTTCATTCACTAAATTTTTTCATGACCCCATGCCAGGTATTAAATATAAGATAAAGATATACAAATATTGTCCATAACTACTTTATTTATTTGCAAGCAAAACAATGTACATATATAAAAAACCAGTTTTAGGATTTGCTTTAAGTATACAAATATTAATGAAAGTAAATTATGCTTTAATGATAATGAATAAAATCTAATTGTTTTTTCAAATTCAACTATTTCAATTTAATTTTTGCAGCCCAAAATGGGGTTGCAAAGAGAAATGCTGGGGTCACGATATGCATAGCTTAGGAAGCCCTCATATAATAGAGAATGTGTGCTTAGTTAAGAAGTGAATTTTCAAAAATTAATTACATTGCTATGTTAACATTATTCATGTGTAATTCTGAATTGAAGCCCAAAAGCCACTTATAGACTACAAGTGAGTCTCCATCATTTTTCCAATAAATCTAGATACCTTAAACATGACATTTATAAGATAATTCCTAACAAATTTATACTAATTAATGGATGGACAGATAATTTTCTTTCTTCAATTAATGTTTCATAAATATGGTTCATTTTTAAAGTTGTAAATAGAAAATTTATAAAATTAAACACATTTTTCAGTTTATAATTAAAAAATAATAATAAACAAGCAAAAAGAAATTAATGTTTTTTGCATTTTGAATTAACCAAGCAATAATAAAAATATTTCTGAAATTTTTTAAAATTTAATTTTAATGTCTTCATTTGTTATTATTTTCTTTAATAAAATAATAATTTAATGTAAATTTTAATTCTGGAGACTGTTTAATCATTTTTAATTTTATAAGGTCCAGATTGTTATCCTTCAAGTAATATAATCAATGGTATATTACTGCTTACATCTTTCACTGATGGCTTTGAAGAAGGTATAAAATCAAGTATATGGTGTAATATATCAGGTGGAAGACTGAGTGTGGATTGTGGCAATTTTGCACCAAATGGACATGGAAAACATTTATATTTTAGTGATTGTGGTTTACGTCAAGCTATGACATGTGAACTTGATGGCACCAGCACTAGGTATATTATTTGTATTCTTTTATTATTTTATTATATNTTTTTTTTTTTTTTTTTTTTTTTTTTTTTTTTTTTTTTTTTTTTTTTTGGTGAATTAAAGTATTAGATTTCATTATACTGCACTTTGTTAAGTAAAACCTTGCTGGTATGTATTAGAATAAATATTTAAATATGATGCTTTTAGATGTTTATGAAGATTATTTTAAATTGAATTTCAAAAATTTTCATAAACATCTAACAATGCTATATATAAATACATTCTATTCTATTATAATCATTTGAATTATATAATATTTTTTAGTAAAATGTTATATATTGTTATACCATACTAGATTAGTCAAAATTTTATTTTTCACAAAAAACTAGATATAATAATCACCACATTCTCCTTATAATAACTAATACTGCTTTTTATATTTTTTTCATACTATATTGATATATGTACATAGCATTTCTGTTGTTATTGTTATTATTACAAAGCATTGAAACTAGAACAAAGAAGTTAGACTAACTACTTAATCAATCAGGATATATTTTAGTTTATGAAATTTCTGTTTTCCTAAAAATTCCTTCATTGGCATGAAGATATATCTGTAATATAAGGATGATGATTCAAGACATTGCAATTAAATTATAGTCAAATTCATTACATCTTAGAATTGCTAAAAATTTCATTTTAATCTGAAGACTTCATTTTTAACAACAATTCTTTATATCATGAGTTCAATAAATTTCTTCAGATCAATTAAAAATTATAATAATTTTTTTGGATTTGATGGTAATACAGCCATAAATATAATTTATGAAAACTTGAAACTTTCAGCATAATTTCTGCTTAGTAACATGGCTGTAATTCAACTATCATAAAATATTTTAATTTTTCTATAATTGCATTTGTATAAAGAAAAACGTTGTTTTTCTTTATACAAATGCAATATTTTTTTGAATTTTCTTCAATAAGTAGGCTACACTTAATGAAATTCCTGAAATGCAAAGTTATGCATCATTAATGTCATATCAATTAATGTCTGACACTTTTTGTATTTTAAAAATGTTTTATCTTCTGTTGAAAAAAATCTTAACAGTCATCAGCACAAGACATCTTTGCAAAATATTTTACATTATTCATAAATAAATATAAAAAAATTATGTTTTAAAACCTATGCAAAACTTACTTTATTAATTATTTTAGTTTTTTGACGTTTCGGCATCACCATAATCATTCTTGAGGATAAATATGAGGGTAAAATCTATACTGTTATTATCATTACTTAGAGCTAATTTCATCTGAAAAACAGCATTTACAATAATTAGCTATCTAATTAATAATTTTCAATAATTAATTAAGGAAAGTTTCTAATTAATTCAATACAAATAAAGCAGTAAATATGTTGTCATAATTTCTCACTTAAACAACAAAACATGACAAAAGTAAAACAAAACAATCCATTAAATTAAATAAATCATATATTGAACAAATTTATTTATCAATTTTATCAATATAACTTGAATTTATAAATTTAAATTCAAGTTATTAGTCAAGAACAATATCAACCTAAAACTGAAATGGAATAGAGAAAGAGGAAGGAATGAAAAATAAATGATACAATGCTGATAATGTGTGTTTTTGTTATATATGTTTATGCACTTGTGAATACTGAATGCATTTCAGCAGATTTTAAATTGTTATTAAAAGAACATTTTACATATATCACCCAAAAAAAATTAAAATTTTGTGACTTGTAGATATAATGATGTGACTTAACATCTGGAATGAAATGTCCAAAATATCTGTTATGTTATTTGCCTTTAATTAAAACATTTGTATGCTATTAATAGGAATTATTACTTTGTTGTTATAAATAGGAAAATTTTAATGGAGCTTTTTATAAAAGAAATATTATCCTAATTTTTAGAAATTGAATGCAAATTGATTTTTCTAAATTTTTATTTCATATAAGAAAAAATTATCAGAATTTCATCTTTTCCAAGGACATGTTTTCTTTTTAAAATTTTAAATTAAACAGCTGAATTTTGAAATTTGCCAAAATATTCTAGATTTTACTTTTGATAATAATTTAACATTACAATAACAGCTGATCACTATCTTAATAATTAAAAATATTAATAATCCAAAAACTTATTGTTTTATTTATTTTATTTTTAATTAACATCAATTACAGGCAAGGCAGCAAGCTGCCAGATAGTGGACTACCCCCCAATAGGACAAAACAAAGACCTAAATAAAAAGGAAAAACAATAAAATATGCAAAGGTATACATACAGTATAATTAAATTACAAAGATACAAAATTAAGAATTTAATCCAAAGCATTTTAAAAAATAATACAACGAAGCATTAAAAATACAAAGCAAGTATATAAAAAATAAAAGAAAAAAATTTTTTAAATTATAAAAATTTAAAAGTTTGAACATATAAAAGGTTTTTAAAAGAGTTATAATTAAAATAAAGAAAGTTTTCGACGTCAATGACAAACCTATCAACCCATAAAAAAAAATTGAATAAAAGATAGTGGGATAGTTTCAGAAAATGTGATATTTTGAGTGCATCTATTAAATGGTGAAGGACAAATGGAAATTTATTTAGAGGAAATTAAACCAATAAAATATCGGAAAAAACAACCTGGAAAAATAAACGATATCCCTCTCAAGAGAAGGCAAGAGCAAATAACATTTTTACTTGAAGTAACCATTAAACTAAAGTTAAATTCAGAATATAATAATCATGGGATATTTTTAATTAAATAAATTTAAAAATGATAGGCATCTAATTCAAGAAGATTTGAATGAAACTTTTGATAATCACTTTTAAGATGTATCACTGATCTCTCATTAGGAGATATTTTTACTGGTATAGTATATCAAAGATAAACATCTTTAATTTCTTGATTTATCAGTTCCTTCTATATCTGAAGTTCTTTTAAAAGTTGTTTTTATATATTTATACAATTCGTCAAATTTTATTTAGTTTAATATAAACTAAATTTTTGACGAATTGTATAGAGGTTTGTAAATAATAATAAAAGAGTATTCAAATAATCAAATATTATTTATTCAAAAATATTTATCATTGTGCGTTATTTTAGGGGAAAAAACAGACAATTAATTTTGAAACATATTTAACTTAATCCATAATTAACTCATATTTTAGTAACTTTTGATAGTATTTGGGTTAATTAAAACATTGGACAGAAAACAGGTTCTAACTATCTTCTTTCCATTTTTCTTGTGTTATCTGTTATAAATAAAATATTAAAATGCGTTCTGTTTCAATCACGAAAATATGCTAATCCTAATACAAAAAAAAAGTTACATTGTAAAATTAAAAATATATTTTTTCAAATAAACTCATTTGAGATTGGTTATAATTTAAAAGAATAATATTTAAACTTGCATAAAAATTAATGATAATTTTTATTTTACAGTAAAATAATGTTTGTTATTCGAATTGGAACACCTGAAGGTTCTGCATCGTGTCATATCAATTCACAAACTCAACGACTAAGTGATAAATCAGTTTTATTTCAGTACACCGTGAATAATGGTATAACATGGGAATTAATTGCAATCCATTCACCTCAAGATTTTTTGACGGTAATGATTTATATAAATTTTTTAAAATAATATTTATAAAATATTAAATGGGAGCTTCGGAAAAAGACTGCTACTATCCTTTTAGCATATATCCAGAGCTGTTGAGAGAGATGAAAGCTGGGAATTTTTTCAACTCTCCCTCTCACTCTGGAGAAAACTTAGGAGCCCATAGTGGTTCCTATCCAATAAATTAATTTTATTTTTACAGCGAAAGAAAGAAAATCTTCAAAACTTTTTTATTAATAAAGAAACATTTTACATATTTCATTTGTCCAGAAAACGACTAAAGATGCCCGTTCTCTCTCCTGGATCCATACACGCTCTCGACCAGTGGTGCATTATCCTATAGCAAAAAGGGCAATTGCCTAGGGCCCCAAACCAATCTTTTATAAGAAAATATTTCTCTCAAAACATTCCCTTGAAGAAAAATGTCTGAAGTTAACACTGTATATTGGGTTCCCTAATTCAAATTTGCCTGGGCCCCATCTGCATCTATCTTACAAGATCGATAAATAGATTGACCATAACTTTTTATACTAAAACGGGACGGGGAGCCACAAGTGATAAATATATATATCTCGTATTATAATTTCGTCAAGAAATATAGAAGAGCTTTACTACTGTAATAATTCGTTAGTATATTATTGGTGATAATGATTTGGTGGCATAAAAAAGAATAGGTAAATTTCTCTAAAGGATTAATAAAGAAATTTATTAATTTTCGAAAATATAAAGTGCTACTTTTAATACAATACTAATGAGTTTGCCCTCCCTGGCCACCTACGGCGGACAAATATGGGGAATAGAGTGGAAGGAATGAGCGGAAGAATCAGGTTGTCTACTGCGACCCGACTTCCTGCTCACTTCTTCCACTTGTTCCCAGTATATACTATTCATAACAAAAATTTCACTAATATATAGATATATAAAATTATACAATTCCAAGTGAAGATTCCATAATATAAACTGAGTTCGGATCCATTTCGAAATGCAATTAATTCACATCCAAATCAATTAGAAAAACAGAGTTTTTATTCAAATTATATATAAAAAAAAAAAAAAGTTTCAGATTTTATTCATCAAAATCGAACAACATTCACATTCCAAGACAAGAAAACATTTTATTTTTGAAAAAATCGTCATGTTCGATCAATTCAATGTCCCACAAAAAACTTCCAATTCCATGGTTACACGGTTCACTTCACTCGCTCAAATCTGCAATCCCGCCTTGCTTCGCTCATCCTCTGCTCGCTTAGCTCACTTGTTCAAAACTTTCGATTCCCGGTGACCGAAAAAGGTATCGTGACGATTTTAAGTACAGTAATATATCTATAGAATAGATTATATCAAATTTAATAGTTAGATCGATGGAGAAAGTTTCCTAGAGTCAAACCAAACGTATTTTTCAATGAATTTATTTTGTTTCAGTTTTGGTCACACGCAATTTTATCGTAAAACTTATCGCATTGTGAGTTGTAGTTTTGCTTTCTTAATTAGCATTGCTGCTATCGCTTCAATATTTACTTTCAACTTCTCTTTATTTTCACTCATGAATTTCCTTGAACAACTCTTTCTACAGAAGCTATAGTTCCTCAAAAACAAAGAACTAATTTAATCAAATTATTAAAATCTTGAAACTCAAGATATTAATAATTCTTTTCGTGCATTTCGTTAAATATTTTGATCCATCTGTTGATTTTTTCATTCGATTTTTTCAAGTGTTTGGTTATTATTGTCTTTATTAGCACTCATTGAATTGTCGAATTTCATGCTTGCGTTTGTGTAATATTTTCCTTAAATTCGTTGAAACTCTTCTCTACGCTGTATTTTATTCCATTTCTTCCTCGATAGTATCCATTCGAATTTATGACAAATATCGATGCAGAATAAACACTTTTTAACAAATCACGGGTTTAGAATACAACATATAAATGTGTTTAATATATAAAACGATGGGATACCCGGGTACGAAAATGAAACGGTATTGTTCCTTCGGTTTGGTCAGCCTATCAATAAAGTTTAATTTTATTAGCATAATTTAATCCAAATAATTATTTATTACGTTATTTTAATTATACTGAAAGATACTAGAGTAAAATATATTTTCTGTGTATAAACACAATTTCAGCCCAGAAGAGTTGTTTATGAAATACCTAACGAAGCAAAAGTGTATGGAGTTAAATTTCGATGGTGGCAACCTTTTCACGACGGTCCGGGTCACGACCAGTGGGCTTTAGATAACGTAGAAATTATTGCGTAAGTTATAATTTTATTTTTATTGAATATAATATCATGTATTTAAAAATCTTTAAATCCTTTTGAAATATAGTAGGCTAACGATTAAAAATAATTCAAAGTCGAAAGGGTACTTATTAAATCGATAAAATGTGCATTGTTGAATTCCGTATTAGCCTAAGTTTTCTATGGTTTAATCTCATTTTGGAGAACTATCAACGATTTAAACGTTAAATGTTACTAATGATAAAAAATTCAAATTGCAGTTATAGAGTACAAAGGGTAATCAAGGAACATTTACTCTTGAATTAGGAAACACAACTGACATAGACCTGGACATACAGTTGGGTAGTGCAATTTTTAATTCGTGTAATGAAATAAACTATATAAACAGCATAAAAATGTAACAAAATTGAGAAAATGTTTATATTTTAATATTGTTATCATTATTTAAAAAAATAATAATAATAATGAAGCTCTTGTTGACAATGAACAACTCTTTGGAGGACGATAACACTTATCGCATCCGTTGAGATCTGTCTCTGATAAAGTAAGACCAATTTCGTATAAAACAGTTTTCGGTAACAGTATACCAGAACGTAGTCATAAAAAGTAGAATGTTCAAACATTTTTTTTTACTCAAATGTCATTAGATTTAAATAAACTCCTCTGAAACCGCTCGACCGATCGCGACCAAATTTGATACGGTCATCAAGTCTAAAACGGTGAATATCATAAGCTGTTTAGAACCCTGGTAAGATCGTGTCCTGGAGGAATAGCGATAAAATTCTGCCATAGAATTAATATTGGATTTTGGGTGTTTATAAAACGTGCGCAACAGTTCAATTTTGTTTACAGGCGTAAACAAGTGCGAGCCATTCAATTTTTGCTCGACATTTTTTTATTTTAAACAATTTAACGTGATAAACGAATCTAAATTCCAGCTTAACAACTCTATATTCGTTTATATATTCGTAAACATCGCTGGCTGGCATGAACAAGCTTAAAAGCTATTACATACGAACTGAATTAAGTCGTCTAAAGTAAAGTATGAAAGGAATCGAGTTTCCAAAATCAGCCACTAAATCAGATACCATTCCTTCTATTTTTTCTATTTTGAAACACACTAAACAAACTCTAGATTTAAAGGTAAATCTCGCTCAGCTTAATTTGCAGTCGTTGAAAACAACGAATGCTATCCTAATAATAACTTATTATAATTTTCGTTTCATAATATTTCGTGAAAAATTGCTATTTAACTTCTTTAAATACTAATCTCAACAACACATAGCATGAAAAAAACTCGTTATGCACTAATGTTTACAGGATTTAAGAGTTTAAAAAAACTATTCGACTACCATTTTCATGGCATCATTATAACACTTCTAATAATTTCTTTATATCAACCATCTATTGGATTTTACAGGCGTACTTAATGTCTTGCATGTTAGTTGATATAGCAAAGCTTTTGGCTCGTAAAGTTAGAATGAAAATTGCGTGATAGTTAGCAACTGTGCTTAATTGCATTTGCACTTCTCGTTTTTTTATTGACTTTATACATTACAAAAGCACATTAGAAGCTGAAATATCTTAAAATGTGAATTATGATAAAAAGAGAATTATACTAAGTTATTAAAAACAAGAAATTTTAATTATTTAACATAAATGACAGTTAAATTGAAGAAAATTAAATTCTAAATTTAATAGCATTGCATTAGTCTCTAACTCTCTTTTGTCAGTGTTTTACTTTACCAGTACAAAGAGAAAGTACAGTAAATGATTTTCTAAACAGTTTTCGTTCATAAGCTTGAAACGAAATGAAGTTTACACATAATAATATCACTGCAAAAATTTTATTCTAATTTTTCTCCTATTTTCAACGATTAAAAAAGATTATTTGACCCCGAAATCGGGTCAAGGTCATCAGATTATTAAATTTAGTATCAATATTATTGATCTAACTAAAGGCATTATCATTTAAGAATTAAAGGATCCTGGGATATTTTTATATAAATAGATGTAGTAGGAATAAATTTAAAGAAAATTAACCAAATTCCTTTTTAAAAAATGATTACTACTAACAATTTTTGCTCTTATGACTTGAGAGTTGAAAGACAAAATTTTATATATTTGTGGCAAATAAGACTTAAATTAGAAAACGGAAACCTAAATTATCTATTAATGTATTTAAAAATTATATAATTAATAATATATATCTTAATAAAATAAATTATTATAATTGTAAGAATGCCAATAATTGATGTTAACATTATTTAATTGAATGTGTCATTAAGTACAAACTTGATGAAGTGTTTTGTTTTTTTTTTTTTTGCATTCATATGACATACTTTCCATGGTTGTTCTTCTTCATCTAAGACTATAAAAATTGTTTAGTCATTGNTTTAAAGTTGTAAATAGAAAATTTATAAAATTAAACACATTTTTCAGTTTATAATTAAAAAATAATAATAAACAAGCAAAAAGAAATTAATGTTTTTTGCATTTTGAATTAACCAAGCAATAATAAAAATATTTCTGAAATTTTTTAAAATTTAATTTTAATGTCTTCATTTGTTATTATTTTCTTTAATAAAATAATAATTTAATGTAAATTTTAATTCTGGAGACTGTTTAATCATTTTTAATTTTATAAGGTCCAGATTGTTATCCTTCAAGTAATATAATCAATGGTATATTACTGCTTACATCTTTCACTGATGGCTTTGAAGAAGGTATAAAATCAAGTATATGGTGTAATATATCAGGTGGAAGACTGAGTGTGGATTGTGGCAATTTTGCACCAAATGGACATGGAAAACATTTATATTTTAGTGATTGTGGTTTACGTCAAGCTATGACATGTGAACTTGATGGCACCAGCACTAGGTATATTATTTGTATTCTTTTATTATTTTATTATATTTTTACCAAATTATACCATACTATTATTATTTTTTCTCCAAAATTACCTCTAAATAAATTTAAGATCTCATTAATATTTAAGTATGTAATACAGTATAAAAAATTTTGGAATACCAGTTCGGACAATGGGAGGCAGTTCTATATAAGTCATGAAAAAACCATGTTAAATCCCAGCAGGTAAGAATACTGACAATATCGTCAAAGAAAGTAATTAGGGTGAATTCAAAGCTGCATTGGGTGTAGGAGGTAATAGCACGCTGAATAACTGTTCATGGTTATCTAGTCCTTGGATGACAGAATTTTGCTTTTAAATCGTGAGTAATGCACAGAAAAGCGAGATTGTCGTGGAGATGGACAATGAACGAATCGTGTTTTTCATCCACAGGTTGGCCCAGCAAGATGGGAAACGTTATCGTCTCGGCGGAAGAAGACACTTCAAGTGATAAACAATGATTTATTATCAAGTCCTCGGAAATGAAGACTTCCTTTCCGTTACTGTAAAAGTATTATATACAGTAAAATAATTCTTAATTTAATGTTATGAATTATCATTAATTATATATGTAAACTTTAATATTTTATAATTCTAGATTTTGGTTTTTGTATTCTATACAGACATTATGAACATTTAAATAGATATGTGTATTTAATAATCGTATATTACATGCATCTAAACGCATCTGTTTATTTCTATATTCGAAAACAATATATTTTCAATACAATGTAACAAATTGATGATAATGTTTGACCGAGTTGTCCTAAATTCAGCTTCTGATCAAGGTCGTACGTATCTATAATGCAGGTTAGTTAGGCAACTAGTCAAAAAGTTCTCCAAATTTGATACAATTCATGTAATCACATTTTGTAACATATTGACGATTTTTACTGTAAATTCTTTATGAATTAAAATTTTCAATATAACCTTAAGATTTTAATGTTTTTTTATTAAATCATTACCTAAACACACAAGAATTTAGAGACAGTTTAAATTGCTTGGAAAGTGCAGATTTGAAATGAGTCGTAAAGTTTCCTTCCCAACTGTAATACCATTCAGAGTTTATTGATATATTCAGAGCATATCGATATTCCCCACGTCGTTTTAAATTTCCGAAAACGGTTGGTAAACCAAGGATGGGTAATCCATTTCGCTTACAATCGTACCAAGCTTCTTACGGCCTGAGAATTTAACAAATGTCTAACGACTTAATGGCGAAGTAAAAATATCTCAATAATTTTCCACATCGTTATCGATCAGAAAACAGTTTTTCTGCCGTAATTTTTGACCGATTTTTTTCGAATTCCATAACGCTATCGCTATAGGTAACCCTGAAAAGGAGAATACATTAAGAACACAATAATAGGATAAAATATAAAAGCTGGGTTAGAATTTAAATCTCCTTGAACCGATTTGGAAAGAAACTATGTCGTGTATCGAACTGTTAGCGTCAAGATGACCATGAGCAACCCTTTAAGTTCCACACCATTGAATAATTTAGAATTTGAGGTCGTAATCGTCTAATGGTATACTAAAAATGTCTCACGTGTTTTATGATAATTTCATTTCTAAATTACATCGTTGTCAATAAACAATAACTAAACAAAAAAGGAATATTTTGTAATTGACTGCCTTGAAACACGAATAATTGTTACTGTCAGCCTTAAAATTAACTCAAGAGTTAACGGTGAGATATGAGAATCATACCGTTATTATCGGTTATAATATTTTTTAAGTGCCTTTTAGAGTTGCTGAGCGAGTTGCAAACCTTCTTAAAAAGAATTATTTTTCCGAATTTTATTATGATAATAATAGCGTAATAAAATGCGAAGGTTACAGGTACAAACACGCAGTGTGTCCAACCAAAATATGAAAAAGAAATTTAATAATTGCTGTACGAACATTTAAATTTGTGAAGATGTTAAATTACTTTAAATTAAAATTCATTATGAGAATATAAATAGTAATTGAAAATTAATTCTATTTAATTAGAGAAGACTTTTCGAATATACTTGTAGAAAACGAAATTAAAACGGTTAAGTTATCAATAAATCTGAATAAAATAAAAGAACTGGTAATTGAGGTCATCAGTTATTGACACTTTCGGTTATACTGTATTTTGTTTAAATAAACTACAGCCGTGTTACGAATTATTAACACAGATTAGGTATTTATGATGTCATTTCTTACTCAAATTGTAGATTTGACTATTTTTTCAAGGAAAAATATTTTATGTATGCAGTGGCGCACCAGAGGGAGCCGAAGGACCCTGGCACCCTCCAAAGGAAAATGAAAAAAATCCACTAGAAAATTTTGCAAAATTCTTTCCCTAATTAAATTTTTTTTTTGTATTTTTATTGTGTCGTGTCTTCTATTTCCATACTACTAATAAATTAGCGGTCACATAAGGTGGGAATTTTATTGAATTCACATTAAAAGTTTTTATCCGTTCAACTCGGCACCCCCAAGATTAAATCCTGAGTGCGCACTCCAGTGTATATGCAATGATTTCGTGAGCATATGTCATTTCACACGAATTCCAAAATCCTATTAACCACTTCACGTTCATTTTAAAACGTAGACGCTTATTGGGTAACTTCTAACTCTAATTCTTGATCCTTGGTTGTGAATACGGACTTTAGTGACCTACGATATAATGACGTTTACAATTAGGAAGATATCTTTCCATACTATTACTGAATAGTTATAATTGTGGTGATGACGACGATCAAATATATTTAATGTGAAATACGTGATACAGGGAACAAAGTAAACTTAATTTATTAATATAAAACATCAAATATTAATAAAAATAAAAATACGATAATTAAATCAAACTTTTTGCAAAATATTTCAAGTTCATTTAAAGTTATTAATTAATTTATTGCAATGTTCCTAGATTATAAAACTACTAAAATTTAGGCTATGATTTTTCTGTATTTTGAATGTAAACTTCGGAAAATAAAACATTTATATATTTTTAATTTACAATTAGATCCTATTATTTACAATCACTTGTTAATAATTTTAAGAGAGAGATATTCACACAATTCATATGATTTGAGTCCTTCAATAATCGGCGTTTTAATCGAGCTCTATAAAGCGCATAGTCAGCTTTTATTGTAAGCTTACCTTTAAATTTTCATTAAAATCAGAATAGAACATTTATTTACTAATAGAATTCGTACTTATTGATGTAGAAAGTAATTTTTGTTAGTTGACTAACTATCAATTACTGATTCATGTAACCACTTTATTTATCTTTTCTATGAATCAATAAGTATGACAATTGCATGTATTTGGTTAATTAAATTTTGTTTAAACGATAAAATTCTGTAAATATTGCATATATAAAGTTTCAACTTTTATCTTACACCAGGCTAGAATAAATATCAAAACGCTAAGATAATGTAAATGAAAGTACGAGAAATATTATTTATTATAAAGAAAATTAAAAGTTATGCAAAAGTTTTGATATTTCGTTAGCTATTTATAGGTCTAAAATTTTGTATTAGAATTATTAATAAAAGTTGTCAAGATATGAATAACCTTACAGAACGATTATAAAATAACTAAGCATGAATAAGCTGTAAAAAGTGAGAAAAAATCCAAAGGGGAATGAAATGTTGACTTTTTTTTTACTGTCCTTGGAAAAGGTGAAAGATACAAGTTAGGATAATGTGGAGGTAAGACATACTTGAGATTTACATAAATGACAGCTTTGAAATGGCATTAAGAAGAGTGATAAATAGATTTTTGCTTTGGTTTTATATCGATTAAAATCATTAAGCTTTTTGTTTTTTAAGTTTCTATTCTGTTTATCTACGAATTTAGGCCAATAAAATGTCGCAAAATCTGAACAACTATAAATGAACCCGATCCTTTTTAAAATTTAGGATTTCAACGAACCATTTGTGAAATTTTTGTTAATATTTATATGCTTAATCAACTTAAAAAGTTATTAAATTATTATTATTTTTATAACGTAAATTATAAATCAAATTTTAAGTATTTTAATTATAAGTGTTGGAACTAATGTTTTGATCTGTTTATTTTATTTTTTTAATTTGAATTAAAATTTAAGAATAAACCTTTAATAATTATTATAGTCTATATAATAATTGATAAATAAAAAATTATCTTCTTATAATGAGAGTGTAACATAATTTCTCAAATTAGTAAATTAAATTAATAAAGAAAAATTAAATCAAAATTATTTCCAATAATTTAATGCGGAAACATTATATTAATTCAATTACTATTTAAATAAAAACTAAGTTAATAACTTAAGATGTAATTAATTCATTAATTAACATAATTTTTTCGTTATTGAAAGAATTATCGTAAAATATGTGAACTTTCGGTCGTTCAGAATGCAACTAAAAGTTTCGAAATCATTTTATATTTTTGTTAAGTAATTTTATAATCAAAAATGATTAATAGTTTACTCTTATTTAAAATAGCTTAATAGAAGAAATCAAATGGTATGAGGAGAAATTAAGATTTATGTAAATGTTACAAATTGAAAGAAAGAAACGTGATGCAAGAAGAAAATAATCTATTGTTTATTTATTACACTAATGTTAAAAGTCAGGCTATAGCTTCTGATTTACTAAACAGTTCCGCACTATGTTGCTAATAAGTCTGCCATAGAAAATTATATTAATCGACAATATAAATATTTTTTCACTGATTTTATTAACAAATCAATTGAATAAAAATATGTTTTTGTCTCAGGAAAGATTTTTCCAAAATAATTTTTTTCTTTTCCCTATTCAATAATCTATAAATATAATTTATATTTTTTTCCTATTAATACCATATAATCTATATTTCGAGGAAAAATTAAACAACAAATTATGATGATACTTATCCAATTTTTTTTTATTGATTAATGGTTATCTCATCATTATCCCCACTTATTGTATAATTTACATAAATAATCCGATTTAACCATCAGTAATCGAGGAAACATTCTTCACAAGAAGGAAAACAATCTGCTGTATTTTGTTTAATCCGTAATCATAATAATAAAATTTGAATTAAATAATCTTCAAAACTTCCTATAATCAGTTAGATTAATTAAATTATTTGAGAAAATGTCTTATTTTAGGAAATTTTAAATCAGATTTCTTAAAATCCGGTTTGATCTAGAATAGTTTTATTATGTTAATAATTTTGCATATTTCTGTAGGTGTTAATCACCCGTAATGGTAAGGGTGTATGCTTACGTTCTGAACATAGACAAAACAACAAAAAAGATAAGAACGAAAAAAAGAAAAAAAAAAGATAAACTGCCATTTGTCTGGACAATATCCTTGCATAGTTTCTCTCAATGCGTGATCCGGCCGCTAGAAAATCTTTCTCATGGACATCGGCTCCACCTCTAACATTTTATGTGCGAATTCCACATTCGGAGATTTAATTATTAATATTCGATAATCCTTACGGCTACCTTGACATAATAAGAAGAACG